TCCTCTGATGCTGCTTGGCCTGCTGCGTTCATCCAGCTCTACACCTTGTTATCTCAGATTCTCCAGCATCTGCAGTTCCTACTATCTCTTTCGCGATGAAGGCTTCTGTAGTCGAATGGCCAACCCTGTAAATCTATTGAGAACAGCGACAGTTGTGTCCTTTTTACATGAATTACTTGCAATGTTGTTCCGGGGGCAATATTTTCTTACCCCTTCAGGTGACCCCACCTCTCCCAGAAGTTGTTGGCTCCACAAATGTATGATTTGGGAGTAGGAGCAGCCCATTCAACAAGATCAAGGCTGATCAGCCTGTGGCCTCGACTTCACATTTCTACCACCCACCGGTAACCATTAGCCTCCCTTGTTAGTCAACAGTCTACCTCCACTTTTAAAATATTCAATGTCTCTGCCTCCACCACTTTCTGCAGGTGAAAGAAATCTTTTTATCTCTCCAACCTCGGGGAGAGAGAGAGAGAAAAATCCTCATCTCCCTCTCGAAGGGGAGACTCATTTTCAAACTGCAACTTCTGTCTTGGTTTTCCCCACAAGGGGAAACATCCTTTCAAAACCCAGCCTGAGCCTGACCCTTCTGTGATACCCTTTTACTCGTGTGCGTGATATAGACGATAACTAATTGTCTCCTCTCCCCCTCGATTGTGGAGCACTGAACCAATCGGTACAGCTGAAAACAACAAATGCTGGAGATCACAGCGGGTCAGACAACATGCATGGAGAGAGCAAGCTAACGTTTCGAGTGTAGGTCGCTCTGATGAAGACTACAATGTATCCTCTTTTTGAGAGTCTAGGTGGCTCTCTGATGAAGACTCGAAACGTTAGTTTGCTCTCTCTCTCTCCGTGACTGCTGTGATCTCGAGCATTTGCTGGTTTTTTTGCACAGATTGCAGCATCTGCGGTAATTTGCTTCTACAATTGGCGCAGCCTTTGTCCCTGTAAGTCTTGATCTGTCCACTAGGAGGTGCTGAGATCACAGCTACCACAAGCATGGTCAGCAGATTGGTCAGCCAAGGACTGGACATATGCCAATCCAGGGACAATGGCAGTACAAGGTCCAAAAACAATTATGTTTTCTCAGCAAACATTAGCCACAAATATTAACTAGACATGATGCACAATAGCTACCATTTCATTATTTAGCAAATTGCAAAGTGTTCTTTTGCCAGTATTTATTTTGGGGCAATACAAATTCACAAGATGCTAAAAGTGACTCAGTGGTAAAATGTCGCAACGATTGGCCATTAGGGATGATACAATTGTTAACGCGATCGCTCTCCAGTTTGTAGAAAAGCAGCAGCAGTGAGAAACCAAGAGGCTCTCAAAGAGAAGTAGAAATCTTCTCCCCAAAATGACTGGTGTATGAGGGCTTGGGGAACTGGGGGAGGCAGTCAGTTTAATTTTTCTGCATCAAGATAGACAGGCCTTTGATAAAGTAGGGTATCAAGGAATTTGGAGCAAAGCCAGGTACGGTAAATAGGGTTAAGGCACTAATCAGGCATGATCTAGTTGAATGGCAGAACAGACTTTGAGTTTTGAATGGCCCTCTGTTGTTGCAATGAATGTAACCTTGTACGTATTTAAAGCCTTAATTTACTAGTCAGTTACGTATTTAGTCGTTGTTCGGTTCTTAAATGCACTGATGTGGAAATGAACCAGACTGACAGAGCAGGAAGATCGTTAAGATAGATCCCAGACCTGTGCTAAGTGAGGTGATCTCACCAGAACTGTCAGGAGGTTGGGGTGGGGTGGGGTGGGGGGAGGCTAGCAAATTTAGTATTTTATCCAGACTTTCTGTTCCACTAAAGAATTCAGTGGGAAACTAAATGGGACTCTTGGAAGTTATTTTTCCCTGATATTGATTTTTGGTTGAAATATGAACGGCGTGACTCCATCAGACATCTACGGGAAGGGCTTGGGTGACCTCCAGTCCTGTAGCGACATCAGGAATTCAGCATTGTTTTGCTTTCCTGAGTCTGTTTGATTGACATGGTGCCTGCAATGAATCATCGGTGACGCTATCACTGAAAAACAAAGAGCTCATAATCAAAACCAGCAAAAGTCCCCAGTAAAATTCCTTCAGCCATTCTATACGACAAATATTATACATGATACTATTGTAGCATAATTTTCTTTACATTCTCTGATGGCTTTTGCTTACCAGCTTCCCTGAGCCTGCTAGCACACGTGCCTGTTGTTATCAGGAGGATCTGAGTCCCAATCAGAGACTTCAGCTGACACTCCACTGCACTTTTGGAGGTGTCATCTTTTAGATGGGACACTAAATCTGAGGGTCTGCCTGCCCTTTCAGGTGGGTAAAAGATATCCCATGGCACTGCATTGGTGAAGAACTGGCAGGTTCTCGCCAAGGTAAAAGCCAATATTTATCCCTCACCGAACATCAGTAAAACAGATTATCATGTTTTTATCACGTTTCTGTTTGTGGGAGCTTGCTGTGTGCAAGTTGACTACTGTGTTCCTTGCATTACGACAGTGGTTACACTTAATTGGATGCAAATCTTTTCTTTCTTATGTTCCTTTTTCTACTGTCCAAGAAACTATCCCCCAGACAGGATTTGTAAGGTGCCAAGCAATAAGGTATTCGAAGACAATGGATTTCTCTTCTGAAGCTTTTCTCCCTCAGTCCATTGTTAACTGTTGCCATGGAGTATGGCTGCCATACACATTGGAATATGATTTTTCTATGTTCTTTTTTGGAGAATGTCTGCATCAATGGCAAGGCCAGCATTTGTTGTCCATACTTAATTCTTTGTCCTTGAACCAAGTGTCTCACTGGGCCATTCAGTGGGCACTGAAGATTCAACCACAAAGGGCAGTAGGTCTGGAGTTACGTGTAGGCCAGACTAAGTGAGGATGGCAGATTTCTTTCTCTGAAGGACGTCAGTGAACCTGGTGGGTTTTGTCTGACAATCAATAGTTGTCACAGTCACCATCACTAGGAGCTTTCAATTCCAGACTTTAGATATTCCCAACCAACATCTTCAGACATATTGTGACACAAATGTAGAGTGAGTGGGACTTGAGCAGATGTGTCCTAGTAGGGATACTATCACTGCACACAGGAACTGCTCAATTAGAGGTTTCATTAATTGAATTTAAATTCCACCAGCTTCCATGGTAGGATTTGAACCTATGGCTCAGAGAATTAATTAGCCTGCCCTTTGGGTTTTTGATCCAGTGACAATATCACTGCACCACAGTCGCCCCCTCAATGCAGCCAAATATATTCTTCTCCCAGGTGTTTCTAAGTTGTGCACAATCTCTATCTGAAGAAAAGTATATTTCCTTTTAAAGGCAGAAATTTCCATTTCCTCAGAAAAAGAATGCTGCTCATCTATTTTAAAGCTGGTTTATTTGCTTTTGCTATGTGCTGTCCTGCAGTGATTTCTCCCTGCGGTAAGTTTCTTTCAGGAACTGGTGACAGATCTTTTTTAAAACAAACAGTGATGTCAGGGTAATAGACTGTCTGTCTTCTGTTTCCTTGACCGCACAGTCCTGATGATGTAATTCTTTGGGGTCAAGGGTTACCTGACATCAATTGTCCCTCAGGGTCAAAGGCTAGTGATGCTCCGAACTCTCGTCCCTTGTGCCTTTTCTGCAAGTGCTTTCTGCTTACTCCGTCCCCACTGCGTGGAAACTTCAGGTGATTTTCCTAATTGAAACAGAGTTAGAGGAAGGGGGAACCAAGAAAATAGCAGGTAGTGGTGTGATTTGAAGAAGATATGTTGAGTTATCCCTAGTATTCTGACCAATATTTATCTTTCAACTGGCCAGCAATATCCATCACAAACCCACCGACTCCCAGTTACTTTGGCCATACATCCTCACACCCTGCTTCCTGTAAAGACTCTATTCCATTCTCCAAGTTTCTCTGTCTCTGCCACATTTGTTCTGATGATACCAGCTTTCACAAGGGGACCTCTGAATGTCCACCTTCTTCCTCAGCCAAGCATTCCCCAGCACTGTGGCTGACAGGGCCCTCAGTTGGGTCTGACCCATCTCCTATCCTCACCTCCTCTCTTCCCTCCCACAGTAGTGATAGTGTCCCCCTTGTCCTCACTGACCATCCCACCAGCATCCACATGCAGAGGATCATTAGTTGCCATTTCGGCCTCCTCCAGAAGGATACCACAACCAGTCAGATATTACCCTCCCCTTGTCAGGCTTCCACAGGGACCGTTTCTTCTGGGACACCCTAGTCCTTCTTCACTCCCAACATCTCCTGTCAGCCTCACGGCACCTTCCCATGTAATCACAAAGGTGTAATACATGCCTGTTTACTGCCTCCCGCCTCACTATCCATGGCCCCAGACACACCTTCCAGGGGAAGCAACAATTTACCTGCACTTCACTCAATCTAGTCAACTGTATTCGCTGCTTACAATGAGGCCTCCTCTACACTGGGGAGACAAAGCGTAGACTGGGTGACTGCTTCTGAGAACACCTACATTCCATCTGCAAAAATGACCTTGAGCTTCCAGCTGCCTGCCACTTTAACACACCACCTTGTTCCCTGGCCAACATCTGTGTCTCGGACTTTTTGCAGTGGTCCAGCAAAGCGCAGCACAAACTGGAAGAACAACACTTCATTTTCTGCATGGCAACCCTGCAGCCTTCTGGATTTAATACCTAATTCAATAATTGTAGGGCCTGATCAACTTCTCCCATGTCCTTACCCTAACTCCCACACACCAGGCTGTGTCATCATGTGAACTGCTACCATAACCAACCCATTGTCAGCCACTAATGGTTTCCATTTGCAACTATTGATTCTCCCAGGCTGACCTTTACCCCTTCCTTTGTCTGCCTAACTGTTTTTTTCTCTCTCTGCTCTCCATCCCCACCTGTCGTAAACTCTCCACCCCCATCCCACCCTATCTTTAGCATATATACCAACCTTTTCTGATCTGAAATCAGTTCTGAAGAAGGTCACTGGACCTGAAATGCTTTCTCTCCACACATGCTGCCAGACCTACTGAGTATCTCCAGCAATTTCTGTTCTTGTCACTAAAATTGATTGTTTGGTCATTATTGTATTGCCATTTGTGGGAGTTTTCTGAGTGAAAATTGGCTGCTGTAATCAATGGTGTTTACACTTCAGAAGTATGGCCGTAAGTCCTTTTGAGATGATCTAAGGTTGTGAAAAGTGCTATGTAAATGTAAAATGACGCCTCAGGAAGTGCAGCACTCCCTTCATGCTGCAAGCCCTGAAATGTCAGCCTAAATTATATTCTGACATTTCTGGCAAGGGACCTGAACACACAAAACTTTGACTGCGACGTGAGAGTGCTATCCATTGAGGCAAGGTTTGAAGTGAACCTAAAGTTTTATAGGGCAGAACACTGACAAAGATTGCAAAAGGTAGCAGCAAAGATCGAACTGATGAAGATCTAATGATGACATGATGCTAAATCTGGATTTGAATAAAAGGACAGAGGGTACTCCCTAACACATTCCCACCTTGGAGGGATTTATCCAAAGATGGACAAGCCAGTTTTCCTATCTGCTCCGTGCAGGAATGCATCCAATTAGTGCAATTAAGGGACTTCTTCCACTGGCAATAATTTACGAAAACTGGTGTGTTGAGCCACACCCCCTGGTGAGTTGGACCTGTGGCTGGGTTAAACTAGAACTTCCTATTGTGGGTGCACTGGACCTGTGGTGAGAAGGCATTCAATACAATCTTCTCAATGGCAAGTAATTTAGGGTTAGGGTTAGGATCCCTAATGCTGGCCCAGACAGTAAAACTGCAAATAAATTTTGGAAACAGACTAAGGTTTGCTGAGGCTGCAGACTCAGTTAAGGCAGCCTCAGACTGGCCAGGCTCCTGGCCCATCAGGAAAGGAGACCCAATCACTGCACCAAGGGGGAAGGAAGGCTGCACTCATTTTCCTTTCTAGATTTCCCTTCAAACCAATTGCCCTTCAAGCCACTTCGTTTCACCTTTTCTACGTTGGCAAATGAGGTGCCTTTATGTTGGAGTGTCATTGTGCTACAGCCTTGGCATTACTCACATCTCATGGAGGGGCCTCAGATGGGGAGTATGGGAAGCCTGTAAGCCACCCTTTAATAGGACAATGAGGTTTGAGGTAACTGGTTTGGAAGTCACCTCCTAGAAGGTTACGCCTGTGGACATGCTACTTTGGGCTGACAAGTAGCAAGTAGCATTCATGCCACACTAGTGTCAGGCTCCAACAGGGGAGAATCTAACCATCAATGCTTCACATTCAATGGCATTACCATCACTGAATTCCCCCACTATCAACATCTGGGTGTTACCATTGACCAGAAAATCAACTAGACTAGTCATATAAATATAGTGGTTACAAGAGTGGATCAAAGGCTGGGAATTCTGCAGAATGCAACTCACCTCCTGACTCCCTAAAACCTGTCGACCATCTACAGGACACAAGTCAGGAGTGAGATGGAATACTCCCCACTTGCCTGGATGGTGCAGCTCCAATGACATTCAAGAAGCTTGACATCATTCAGGACAGAGCAGCCTGCTTGATTGGCATCACAGCCAAAAACATTCACTTTCTCCATCACTGACACTCAGTAGCAGCAGTGTGTCCCATCTTCAAGACACACTGCAGTAACTCATCAAACCACTTAGTCAGCATCTTCCAAACACACGAGTATTTCCATTGAGAAGGACGAGGGCAGAAGGTTACGTGGGAACACTACCACCTGCAAATTCCCCTCCAAGCCACTCACCATCCCGACTTGGAAATGTATTGCCAGTCCTACAGTGTTGCTGGGTTAAAATCCTGAAACTCCTTCCCAACAGCATTGTGGGTGTATCTGCACCAGATGGACTGCAGTTGGTCAAGAAGGCGGTTCATGACTACCTTGGTAAGCATAATTAAGGATGGGCAATAAATGTTATCCTAGCCAGCAGTGCCCACATCCTCTAAATGAATAAAAAAACACTGCGGTCATGGGGTCAGAGTAGATCAGGAACCCATACGATCTCTTTGCCCTCTGTCCTTGACAGGAGCCAACACCTTGTGGCCACTCCATTCCCAAAATTAATTTCTCTCTCTTTTCCTTCCACCAACTATCTAATCAATTCCTAAACGTTGACATGGTCTCTGCCTCAATCACCAGGAGCTCAATCGACAACCTCACTGATCTTACAGTAAGAGAAATTTATCCACAGCACGACCTGCTGTGACAGTATTGGGGAAAGTTGTTTCCACAACACACCAGCATTCCTTCCATTCCTCACACAAGCCAGTTAAAGACAGAACTGTCAGGACGTGTTGATATTAGCACCTTTTTGTGTTCGGTTGTATATAAGCAAGCATTCCTCAGCAACCACAAAACAAACCCACCTGTCCCGTGGTAATGCATTATATTGCAAACATGTCATTCTTCTTGCCTGCTTCGTCCTCAATGTGTTGAAATGAAAACTCATCATTTACTCTCCTACTGTAATCTGTTCTTTCCCTTGGCACAAAAGCCCTCTGGCTCTCCCTAGTCTTCTCTTGCTCCTTGTACCTACAGGCTTTTCAATCCAAAGTTGGCATTATCTCAGCATTAGTTCTTCATTAATTTGATCGTCTCTGTTACTTTTCACAACCTTGGTCAGTATCTTATTCGAGGGCCCTTCAAACCTTGCAAAATAACTCCACAAAGCCGAAATCCCTTCAACAAGCCACCCTTTATTTACATATGCATAGTACATGACACTGACACTGCTAGCTCAGAGCTGGCTCCTGTTCTAATCTGTCAGCCAGGACTCCCTGATTGGACCAGGTTAACAGCCTCAATCAGGAAACTCATATTCTATGAGGTCCACTTGGCTGAATGTGTTCCAATGTCTCACCTTTAGTAGATAATACTCTCAACTCATAGTCAAAAAGCTGTGGGGTTGAGTCTCACTCCAGAGAGTTGAGGATTTAATTTAGGCTGGCACTCCAGTCCAGTGCAGGGAACGCTGCACTAGCTGAGGTGTTGTGTTTCAATAAGGGCCAGCCTTTGTTGTGAATGCCGGAACACTGTGATGCAGTGTGATGCCACCACCCAGGGACAGAGTGGCAGCTGCATGTCACAAAGATGGCACTGCCAATGTAATCACATCGTGGTTACACACACTGTAAGATTTCGGCTGTTTGAGGCTTCTCTTTGTTCTAAGCGACTGCTTTCACCCCAGCCCCATGTCATAGACTGAACCGACGCAAGGAACCTGGACAGGGCACAAGAAGTGGCCGAGGTAGCACAGAGGTATTGGTCATCACTTCTAGTAAACTGAAAGGGTGGGGCAGTCTGTGCTTGCACACTTGCTGAGGTCCTGTGCACAGAATGTGGTGATGTCAGCAGAATCTGTGCAGACACATCTTGCTGCGGTCAGCTGCTTTCATCAGCTCCATTTTATTGGCAACCTTGGAATATTTATTCTGTCCTCTTCCAACTTTCACAACCTCAGCTCATCCCAAGAGGATTTACAGCCAATGAAGTTCAAGGTAAAGTCACCGCATTCCAGGATTGCTAGAGGAGAGTGGACCTGGTGGTGGTTTATAAACAGCCACATGAGGGGAAGAGTTTGCGAAGGAAAGTTTTTCATAGCAGCCTCAGTTATTGCGGGAATTGAACCCATCCCTGTGTATCTCAAGCCAGCTGTCCAGCCAACTGAGCTACTGACCCCTCGTTTCTGAGATGTAGTCTGACTGTTCTAGTATAGGAAACACAGCTTGCTTTAGTTTAACTTCTCATCCAGAAGACAGTGTAATACTCCCTCAGTGTTCCACAGGGAGTGTCAGCCTAGATTTTGTGCTTGAGCCTCCAAGTTAAGATGATTTACCGTTTAAAAGCAGGACATTTTCCTTTCAAGGTCTTTTGGTAATATCCTGTCTATGAATATAACAGAAGTGAAGGGACTGCAAAGGACCAAACAGGCCACTAAAGCTTGTCCCTCTCTGCCTGTCCAGTGTCGACTTTATGTGTTTAGCTGTTTGCTGTCACTCACTTTATGAAGGAATGATCCAGCGCCCAGCTGAGCACAGTTCAACCGGAAAGAGAAACAAAACGAATGTTATCAGGCGACTTATTCAGCAGGGAAGAGGTGGCAGCTATTAGTTCATCAAGCAACACTGCAACACAG